TTTTAGTTTATTGCAGCAGTCTGCAGCTGTTAAAAAAACAAACATGTTTCTTATTACATGCTGCATCCGTTTGGTCCACTTCTTCTGCTGCAGATGATTGCAGAGGTGATTCACATACTTTATGAAATTTTGCTTCGAAAAAACAAACAACACCTTAGTTTTAGATAAAACTAAATTGAACTATCCTATAAGGCTACACAAAGTGGTTCAGAAGGGAGTTATGCATAGTCAACGTGACCTCGGCACACGTCGCGTCACGACCTTGGCAACCCTACTCGACATATTTCTACCGAGTTGAGACCCCATCTAATCATCCACCCAACACCAATCAAATGACTACTTTTATTATTATTATTTTTTTAATTCTCAAACTCTATAAATACAACCTTTAAACACCTTTTTTATATCACTCAAGCGCCTTTTTTTTCTTCTATCTAAAGATGTCTTCATCTTCATGTTTAGGAGTTTTTGAATTGGTGGTAGAAACGACCATAAAGCTTATTCAGTTTGTTGAAGTTAAGATAGAAGCACTACACCAGAAGGATGCCGAAAATGCAAGGTAGAGAAATAAATGATACATACAAAAAAATCGTGAAATTGTCCACCAACGTCTCATGCACGATTATTTTAATGAGCACACGATTTTTTCAAGGCTACTTTTTTCGACGTCAATTCCGTATGCACTTACATTTGTTTTAGTGTATAGTCAACGATGTCACGAAAGCATGTTCATATTTTCAACAACGCGCATATGCAAAAAAGTATAATAGGTTTTACTCCCTTACAAAAATACACAACTGTATTTCGTATGTTGGAATATGCCACTTCTCCCAATGCATTAAATGAAAATTTGATTATTAATTTAATTTCTAGTAATTACAAATGTTAAAAAAGAATTATTAAACTTTAATATATGAACAATGTGACACACCATTCCTCCTATTTTTTTTCAATGTAATGTTGCAAAAATGTGGCGACTACGTGGTACTTTTTCAAATGATAGGGCTTTTGTCCAGATAAAAACATATTAGGGACAATTTAGACATTTCAAGTGAAAGAATTTTACGTAATGTGCCAATAACCAAAAACGAATGTCCTTCTATGAAATAGTTTCATAATGCCAGGGGCTTAGTGCGAATAATCGTTCGCGTTTTGAGGGAAGGAAAGCACACATACATACGCCCATTCGATGCATAAATTTGGGCGAATTCAAAGCGTCTCGCTCCCTTCGTTTTCGAAGGAAAATCAGAGGCGATAATGGCAACTACGATCACTCTTAGTTCCACTTCTACGCTTTTCCTATTATTCACGTTGCACGGATTCTTTTGGCTCTCGTTTTGCTCTGATCACGTCCCTCTTCCACTTAAAGGTACGCCTTTTTCCTCGTTGTTGGGTATTTTATCATTACAGTAAAGTAATTGAAGAATAGTATGAACAAACGTACACTCAGAACTGGTATTTTGTGTAAATTGGGTTTACATCGATAAGTTTGGATCGAGAAACGTATCAGTTGTGGGTGTGATTGGTTAAAGTATAATGTATGAAGTAAATTTTCTTATAAAGATGCTCAATTTTAGGGTGTTCATGATGTAATTTTTTATGTGTATTTTTTGTTTTATTTTGCAAGCTTCAATAGAAGGCACTATCACTTGCGACAACCACGGTCTTCATTGTTGAAAATTTTGTGTCTTTCAGGAAATGTTCACAATATGATAAGAGAATTAGAAACAATACTTAATAGATAAAATATAAATAGTATTTTTCATGATTCTCAACTTGCCCTTACACTCGCAAATTTGCATTGAGGCACATGTGATTATGGTGGTTGGGTGATGAAAGTTTGATTCTGAGTAGTTAATCTACTTCCATAAAGGAAAATTTAGTGATTCTTCTGTATAATTTAAATGGGTTTGTATTTACTTGATCCAACACTAACATTTTTGTATCAAGTCACATGTTATTTTTAACGGTTGATTGATCAAAGCTTTTGATATAAGTAGTCAAATTGCTTATAAAGATGTTAGGTTTAGGGTTTTCTTGATGATTTTTAACATGTTAGTTTTATGTTCAAGAATTTGTGATGCATATCAAGAAACTTGCATCCTTTCATATACTAATTACCCTCTTCATTTTCAAATTCAGCTATTGATGTGGGACAACCGGCTGTTGATGTCACCCCCACACAAATTCATGTCTCTTCTCAAGGATCTAAAGATGTTGCATTTTGTGAACGTGTTACTATACATGGCATATCAAGAATAAAACTCCATAGTTATGCCAAAGCATATCGAGTAATAGTGGTTCCATCAGTTGTGATCCCTGATAAATGGCATAACAAGATTCAGATATGTTTCCACCAGTAAGTAAGAGTCTTTTAGGTTTTACTGATCTTTCTTTTTCCATTTCATTATCTTTGAAATTTTCATGATTATGCAGGAATGCTTCACTAGGATTATGCCAATGTGAAAAAGATGATTGGAGATTTATTAAAAAGGGTTCATGGAGTTCCATTATGTCACCATTTGAGCAAAAGTTCGTTGATGTGAAGTTTGTTGGTGGGGTGTCTGGCTCTGTAACTGTCACTCTTGATGAAGGTCAGGTGTTTGTTTGGATTTCCTTTTATATTTCCACAAATTATCCAAAATTGGGAATTCTTGCAAAAGTTATAGTGTATTTTTTAACAATTTCTATACGTGACCTTTTGACATTAGGTTTTAAATGTTTGTTTCTTGCAGTGTCACAGGGATGGAGGTATGTCTTACTTGCAGTGGGATTTGCTTTATTATTCTTGGCACCTATTGTTAGCACGTGGGTCCCCTTTTACTATACCAGTTCTATGGCTATTGGAGTTTTTGCTGTTGTTCTCATAATCCTTTATCAGGTACATGTGTTTTTTTGTCACTTTATTTTGTAAAGAAAAACATCAATATCAAGTTTTTAATCTATAACTAGAATTCTTTGTGAACTAATTTACATAATTGTTTTTCTAACTATATCATCTTTGATATTCACAGGGGATGAAATTATTGCCTACTGGCAGAAAAAGTGCCTTTTATTTAAGTATTTATTCCACATTGGTAAGTGCCCTGCAGTTTGCATCCATTTCTACTGCATTTTATAAAACATGAGTTTTATGATTTATGGCCATGGTGTATGTATCTTTATTTTTTGTTTTATTTTCTCTATTTTTTTTGTAGCTTGGTGCAGGTTCTTTTCTTGTTCATTATGTCTCTGAGTTTGTCAATTCAATCCTTGCAAATTTTGGACTCAGTCAAGAGCTGCAGAATCCGGTAAGTACTTTCTCAGAAAAAATGGAAACGAAATTGATTAATTATATAAAAAATATATTTTACATTTGAAATTTTTTCAATAATCTGTTTTAAATTTAATAAGCATTAAATATACTAGATTAAATCCACACATTCAAAACTATTAAACATCCCTTATAGTTAGAAAACAATCTAGTAATAATAATATGAGTAAATTACAAATTTGGTCCCTGTCATATACCGTCTTTTCCGAGTTTAGTCCAAGGGCAAAACAGTCATTTAACAAAAGATAGCTGGGAGATTAGTGTTACCCCAAAGCCTAAACCCTAAAGTCTTTTGCTGTTTATACTTTCGTAAAATTGGGCAAGTAGGTGAAGAACATATGAAACTAATTACATATGTGCCCTCTAAACCCTAAACTTTAAACTAATTACAATTGTGCCCTCTAAACTCACAGGTTTCCGTATTTATGCTGCTTGCCATCATACTTTTAGGAGCGGGACTTGGTTATTGGCTGGTGCGCACTTATGTTATTTCAGAAGATGGTGACGTGGACATTGGCATAGCCCAATTTATCAAATGGGCAATGCGTGTGATTGCAGTCACATGTATTTATTTGGTCAGATATCTCATTGATTTAATCATCTTATTGCATAAATACTTTATGTTATATGGTATAAATCAAAATTTTATTTTACTTTATTACAGAGCTCTATTGACACTCCTTTGGCAATGGTAGCAGTTGGTTCTTCTATATCACTATACTACATGATCACTTCTATCAAGTGGCACAATCATCAGTAAGTTCTAATTTTTTTTATTAGAAGTAGTTGATTAGTTTGAATTACAGGATCTTGATGATGTTATTTTCATGTAGAGGTTTGTTAAAATCTAAAAAGTCAAAGCTCTGGGAAAGGAGTGGTCAACGAACACCAAAGATTGGGCGTGCTGAGTTTCTTAGAAGGCCAAAAAAGATTAGTCCATGGAATGCTCCAATGAATTCATTTGCTTCTCCTGTCAAAGGTACTGATTGTGATTTATAAGGGTATTTTAGACATTTGACGGATATATTTGTTAAATTGATGAAGGAATGGTGAACAACACATCGGGAGGTAGAGGGTCAACGGAAAGTCAACATGACTTTTACTCAACGTTTCACAAGACCCCAAACAGAAAGAAGTTCTCAAAGAAAGAATGGGAGGAATTCACAGAGGAATCAACCAGAGAATCAGTTGCTGATCTGGCATCTTCGCCTGAATTCACTGATTGGGTGATCAAGAACGCCAACAGAATCAAACTCCTTCCTGATAATGGCTCAGATAATGAAGTGAGTGGCTCAGATTCTACAGATGGATATCTTTTAAAGAATGCAGATAAACATAATTTTTTCAGCTGGAAAAGACGCCAGTGAAGTTATTATTAATCATGGATTGTGGGTTTTTGGGGTCAAATTACTTGCAATATGGAAAGTTGTAGAAGAAAATTTGTGTAGTTTTTAGTTATTGTTCTTGTTCTTCTTGGAATGTGTACACCCAATGGATCTCATGGGATACTTTCAATCGAATGTACAGTTTTCATTGAATGATGTACAGATCAGTAGGGTATGGATGTTAATATTGCCTAGTCATCATGCCTTGTATGCCACGTAAGCAATAAGAAAAATTAGTTGGCAGTGAGCATATATTAAAGGAAAATAAGGTAACATTTTTGAAGACATTGAATATCATTATTCTACATCAACATGTTATTAAGCTCTTTGACAAATTTCTCCATAGGTCCACTAGGTAAGCTTATAAGAACCATGATTCCAGATTCACCTTTCTTGTTTGTAGAAGACATGTAGTAACTCAAGACTCCAGGTAGGAAATCTAATCCTCCTGTTGCAGGCCCTCCATAAGCTGCTTTCCCCCACCCAAAATCAACTTCGTTCAATCCAACTCTACTTAGGTTTGAAATCGTGAAGGTCCAAGCAAAAGTAGAGGTGAAGCGTCGTCCTCTAATAGCCATTAGGTCAATCGTTGATCTCACATATTCTTCGGATACAAGAGCTTTAGCCTTCCTCACAAGCTCGATTGCATAGCCTAATGGTTCATGCAATAGGTCTCGAGCTGTTGAAATTGCACATGCTGTTGCCAAACAATTTCCATAATACCCAACTAGAAGAGGAGGGTTAAACATCGTGCGTGCATTGACAGGGAACATGAAACGAATCTCATCTTCAAGATTTGGATCTAAGGCGATAGTACGACAACGCCAGAGAGAAGCTGATAGCATGTCAAAAGTGGAGCAATGTTTTAGGGTTTCTGGAAAAAACCTTCGAATGGCTGACAACTCAGTAGACCCAAAGAAGAATGATTTTTGGTGCATTGTATCTAGTGTCATGATGGGGTACTTTGTGTTTGTAAAATCATTGTACTCATGATGATCAAATGTGACACATGGTGTGTCTCTTGCAAAAAGCAATTCCCTTTGCCAGACGGGCAATGTTGATGGTGTAGATGCACCACGTGTTATTTCATCCGATGCTGACAGGAACTGTGCAAATCCTGGCCCGTCAGTCATGGTGTGGTTGAGTCGTGAAGCGAAGATAAAACCTCCACATAATAGTCGTGTCACCTATCAATAAATGATTAGTTATATGCCAACATTAGTGATGATTAGAGAATAACTATTAACCTTTTTTTTTTTTTTAGAACGTCAAATCTACACTACTCCTAAATTACACCTAATACCACCTATGTCTCCAATGAGACTTGAACCCTCAAGCACTAGGAGGGAGACAACATCCGGTACCGCTGAGCTAGAAGCCCTTTGGTAGCTATTAACCCTTTTCAAGTTATAAAACCTTAATTAAAACAATGAAGAAAACTAGATATATCGTTACAAACAAAGATAAATTATTCTCGATTATGTTAGTGGAATTTGGTACTTCAAAATTGAATACTTTAGTTAGTGATTTTGATGACAACCCCCATTTTCTTATGAACTTCATGTTAGTTTTCTTAGAAGAAAAGGGAAAAACAAGAACAAGAGTAGCAAAATGGGACCCATTTAAGTCCATAATGCATGCGCAGTTGACTATTTCATTATGTAAAATATCAATAGAAATATATAGTTGGCCCTTATAATCTTTAAGCCATATGTGAATCTAATCCTAACTTAACCCAAAATTAGCACGTTGGGCAATGCTTTTCAACCCACCAAAACATTTATTTGAATAAATGTATATAGTGTTAGTTTCTACAGTTTGCTGTATTGTTTAAGAAT